GCCCGACTGCATGTTCCTGTCAGCCGCCAAGAATTTGCTCCCTGGACACCAGCCCAGGAATGATGAAAATGCCTGCTTGCCCACTGATGGAAACTGGGCTCCACCAGGCGACGCAGCAGTGGCGGAGAGGAGGGAAAGAGAGAAAGGGAAGGACGAGGAACGAGAGAGAAAAACTCGCGTCTGGACCACCCGCGCGCACCCTGATGAGCGCACGACCGCGGTATGCGGGAAAGCATGGGAGATCCTCACTCCGAGACCCCTGTCGGCAGCCAAAGAGAGTATGGCATTTTGCTGCTGTGCATCTGGTGTGGGTGATGGCGGGGCCTGCTGCCCGCAGTGGCGGGGACCACAAGGCGGCCACGGGGACACACGGACACGGCCCACATCCTGCCGCAGGGCGGTGCCGCAGGGCGGGGCCGCAGGCCCCTGAAAAGTACTGGCGCGTGCATTGGTGGCAACATTCGAGCCCTACCCCCACCAACCCCCGATTCTCCTGACGCGGGGGTATAGAGGAAAAAGAACTATGCACATGCACCGATTCTGGCCAGGCCCATCCTGAGCCCAGGATCGGTGCATACGCCCTCCTACCTTGGCCAGGAAGGCATATGCACCGATCCTGGGTCAAGGTTGGGCCTTGCCAGGATCGGTGCATGTGCATAATTCTCTTCGCCCGAGGGTAGGGTTCGGATTTCGCCACGTGCTCGACGAATTCCGACGGATTCCGAGCCCCATCCCCGCCAACCTGTTCCCTGAATCGTGAATTGGCGCGAGGGCAGGGTTCGGACTTCGCCGCCTCGGGGTGCCAGACAGGGTGGAGCACTGCGTCGCTGCAGGGCGCACGTGGGCTGGAGGCGGCCGGGGGGTCTGGACTGGATGGGCCCCCAACCAATCTGTCAGTCAAGAAAGAAGGATGGAGGAAAATCCGCGCAAAATCGGCCCCTGGACCCCTCCTGGGGTCCATCTGGTGCAAGCATTCACCCCGGATCCGTTTTTCACAAAGCTCGAAAGCAGGCTCCAGACACCGCAAAAAACAAAAAAACTGTTCGAACCCAGCACCTCGAACCTCGCCACTCTCGTCCTGCTGGCCCGAACCAGTACTGGGCCACCTCAGACACCCAGCCGGCTCCAAGACTCGGAGACGACGAAAGGGGACGAGAAGAAAGGAGGAAATCAGAGACGGAGAGAAGCGAACGGCGCACGCGCGTCCGAACCCCGAAGTCCTCCGCCGTGGCTTTGATAGACAGGCGAGTGCCTCCAGGACTCCCGACACATGTGTTCCCTGAGCTTCGGCGCCGTGGGCTGCTCCTTCTTGGCCCCAGGTTCCGGAGCGGGCCTCCCGGGGCAAGAGAACAAGCGCATCGACTCTTGCTGAAGACGCCAGGGGTCTGGACATAACCCCCTCGATGAGCTTCAGCTCCGACGGGCTGCCACACGGCACAGTCAAGCTCCGAGCTCGGCCACGCTGCCAGGGCAGATATAGCGCTGAACAGGTAGCTGCGTGGCTGCCTGCAGAACTTCCTCGAAAACAACGCTTGGGGCGTCGGCCACAGGCGACGGGCACCTTGCATCTTTACCTGCACCCTGGCATGAGCCACCCATGCTTCTACCATTTCTAAGATTATCGCCTGAGCATGTTCCATACATGTGCCGCGCTAGTGATGAACCTGATCGGACAAGAACGGGAAGCGCCGCTGTAGTCTAATGGGCGTATTGGGCGAAGAAGAGAAGGAAGGCGACGACAACGAGGAGTCGATGACGAGGACGACGTGGCGAACGTGAGGATAGCGAGGAGGAGCATGAGGACAACGAGGAGGAAGAGAAGCACAAGGACGAGGACAAAGAGAACGAGGGCGAGCACGAGGAGGAATGCGGAGGGCGATGATGACGACGACGACGACGACGACGACGACGACGACGACAGAGGACAGTACGAGGCAATTGGAGAAAGACGTTGCTCCTGGCGCCGCGCGGGGTTCTCTTGGGGCCTGTTGGGGGCTTCTTGGGGGCCCCTTGGGTCCTCTTATGGGCTTCTGGGGACTTCTTGGGCTGTCTGGGCGCGTCGTGGGGTTCTGTGGGAGCTTTCTTTGGCCGTCTCGGCGCTGGGGGCCTCCTGGGGCGCTCCCAGGAGTCTCTTGGGGCCTTCTTGGCCCTTCTCGGGCCGTCTTGGGGTTCTTGTGAGCTGGCTGGGTGGCTCCTAGAGCGCTCTTGGGGGTCTCTCGGGGCCTCCTGGGGCGCTCCCAGGAGTCTCTTGGGGCCTTCTTGGCCCTTCTCGGGCCGTCTTGGGGTTCTTGTGAGCTGGCTGGGTGGCTCCTAGAGCGCTCTTGGGGGTCTCTCGGGGTCTTCTTGGGGCGCTCTTGGGCGCTCCTGGGGCTCTCCGGGGCGTCTTTTGGGCCTCCCTTGGGCCGTTGGAAAGCCCTCCAAGAGCGATTCGAACACGACGTCGATGCGGAGTCCCCTCTTGGGCCAATTTTTGGAGGATGTCTCGAGCGAAACGGCCATTTTTTCAAAAATCCTAGGGGCCTCTTCGCGCGCTCGGGGGGGCCTCTGGGCGCCTCGTGGGGGCCTCTGGGCGCCTCTTGGGGGCCTCTTGGGGGTCTCTTGGGCCGTTTTGGGGGTCCCCTGGGCCCTCTTGGGCCGTCTTAGGGCGATCGTGGGCGCCTCTCGGGCCATCTTGGAGCGTCCGGAAACCGAAAAGGCGAGAACCCCAAAAATCTTCAAAAACCATCGGAAAATCAATGATTTTTTATTTCTTGGCCCTCTTGGGAGGCCTCTTGAAGCGTCTTCGAGGCCTCTTGAGGGCCTCCTGGGCCGTCTTGGAGCTATCTTGGACCGTCTTCAGGCCGTCTTAGGGTATCTTCGAACGCTCTAAGGCGGTCTTGGAGCGCTCTTGGGCCGTCTTGAATCCCACTTGGCTGTCTTGGGCGCCTCTTGGGCCCATTTTCGGTCATTTTTCCGGAACCTGATCGGACAAGAACGGGAAGCGCCGCTTTCGTCTTTTGGGCGTATTAGGCGAAGAAGAAAAAAGGAAGGCGAGGACAACGAGGAGTCGATGACGAGGACGACGTGGCGAACGTGAGGATAGCGCGGAGGAGCATGAGGACAACGAGGAGGAAGAGAAGCACAAGGACGATGACGAAGAGAACGAGGGCGAGTACGAGGACGAATGCGGACGACGACGACGACGACGACGACGACGACGACAGAGGACAGTACGAGGCAATTGGAGAAAGACGTTGCTCCTGGCGCCGCGCGGGGTTCTCTTGGGGCCTGTTGGGGGCTTCTTGGGGGCCCCTTGGGTCCTCTTATGGGCTTCTGGGGTCTTCTTGGGCTGTCTGGGCGCGTCGTGGGGTTCTGTGGGAGCTTTCTTAGGCCGTCTCGGCGCTGGGGGCCTCCTGGGGCGCTCCCGGGAGTCTCTTGGGGCCTTCTTGGCCCTTCTTGGGCCGTCTTGGGGTTCTTGTGAGCTGTGTGGGTGGCTCCTAGAGCGCTCTTGGGGGTCTCTGGGGGTCTTCTTGGGGCGCTCTTGGGCGCTCCTGGGGCTCTCCGGGGCGTCTTTTGGGCCTCCCTTGGGCCGTTGGAAAACACTCCAAGAGCGATTCGAACACGACGTCGACGTCTTGGCGTTATCTTGGACTGTCTTGGCGTTATCTTGGACTGTCGTGGGGCTCTGGGGGCCTGATTGGGGCCCGTGGGGAGCATTTTGGGAGCCTCTTGGAGGCTTCTGTGACCCTCTTGGACTCAGGCGTCTCTCGAGGGTCTGTGGGGGCTCTCTTGGGCTGTCTTGGCGTTCTCTTGGACCGTCTTGGGGCTCTCTTGGCCAGTCCTGGGGCCTCTTCGCGCGCTCGGGGGGGCCTCTGGGCGCCTCTTGAGGGCCTCTTGGGGGTCTCTTGGGCCGTTTTGGGGGTCCCCTGGGGGGCCTTTGGGGGCTCTCTTGGGCAGTTTTGAGGCCCTCCGGGAGCGACTCCAAGATAATGCCGGTTCGGAGTCCCCTCCAGAGCCGATTTTTTGAGGATGTCCCGAGCGAAACGGCCATTTTTCCGGAACCTGACCGGACAAGAACGGGAAGCGCCGTTTTTTATCCACCACGTGCGTCAGAGACCGTATTGGCGAGAACGTCAGAGGAACCCATAAACGCAACAGAACAGACTAAATGATGGCCTGCCGCGCTGGTCTGTCGAGGTAGTCTGCTGCCCTGGCCACATCATGGTGTCGACACCGTGCTTTTCTCTCGGCCACGCGGGCCCCCACCCGTTGTCGCCCAGCCTACTTTTTCTGTTCCAGCCTGTCTTGTCTTTTGTTTGTCCGTCGTCGTCGTCGCGTGCCTTTCCTTTGTCGTGGTCGTCGTTTTCATTATAATCGTCCGCTGTTGCCGTTCTCGCTGTCGCCGTCGTTATCATTTTATGATTGCGGTCGTTTTTCTGATTGTTTTTTTGTTGTTGGATTCCGTGTTCGGTTGGTTTTTGTGTTATGTTTGTGGTCGTTTTCTGTCATCGTTTTTTGTCGTAATTTTCGAGATCGTTATTGACGACGACGACGACGACGACGACGACGACGACGACGACGACGACGACGACGACGAGCAGGAGGACCCGTGCCGGCTGGCTCGGGGTGCCTGCGTCCCTCTGCTGCCGCAGGACGCCGCCAGCGAGTTCCGAAGTGCGGGCCCGTACCCCTTAGTTAGAGAAAATTAAGCCCCAGAACCAACGGTGCACGCCGGAGGCGCTTCCCGTCATCCTCGAGTTCGTCTGGAGGCCGTCTCGAGGCCGTCCTGAGGACATCATGGGCCATCGCGTTTATCAAAAGTAAGCGTTTGGCTCGAGGCATCCTCCCAAAGTGGGTCTGCCGTGCTCCTGTGGTCTGCCGTGCTCCTGTGTGTTCTGCTGTGCTCTTGTGGGGTCTACCGTGCTCCTGTGTGGTCTGCCGTGCTTCTGTGGCGTCTGCGGTGCTCCTGTGGTCTGCCGTGCTCCTTCTTGGTTTGCCGTGCTCCTGTGTGGTCTGCCGTGCTCCTGTGCGGTCTTCCGTGCTCCTGTGGTCTGCCGTGCTCCTTTGGGGTCTGCCGTGCTCCTGTGGAGTTTGCCGTGCGAACGTGTGGTCTGCCGTGCTCCTGTGTGGTCTGGCGTGCTCCTGTATGGTCTGCCGTGCTCTTGTGTGGTTTGCCGTGCTCCTGTGTGGTCTGCCGTGCTCCCGTGGGGTCTGCCGTGTCCTGTGTGGTCTGCCGTGCTCCTGTGTGGTCTGCCGTGCTCCTGTGTGGTCTGCCGTGCTCCTTCTTGGTCTGCCGTGCTCATGTGCGGTCTGCCGTGCTCCTGTGCGGTCTGCCGTGCGAACGTGTGGACTGCCGTGCTCATTTGGGGTCTGCCTTGCTCCTTTGTGGTTTGCCGCGCTCCTGTGTGGTCTGCCGTGCTCCTGTGTGGTCAGCCGTGCTCCTGAGGCGTCTACGGTGCTCTTTTGGGGTCTGCCGTACTCATTTGGGGTCTGCCGTGCTCCTGTGGTCGGCCGTGCTCATTTGGGGTCTGCCGCGCGCCTGTGAGATCTGCCGTGCTCCTGTTGGGGAAACGCCAGCGGCGTTCGGGGTACAACAAAAAGGCGCGTTTATGTTGTACCCGCGCGCGGTCTGCCGTGCTCCTGTGGGTTCCGCCGTGCTCCTGTGGCGTCTGCCGTGCTCCTGTGGCGTCTGCCGGGCTCCTGTGTGGTCTGCCGTGCTCCTTTGTGGTCTGCCGTGCTCCTGTGGAGTCTGCCGTGCTCCTGTGTGGTCTGCCGTGCTCTTGTGCTCTGCCGTGCTCATTTGGGATTTGCCGTGCTCATGTGGGGTCTGCCGTGCTCCTGTGTGGTCTGCCGTGCTCCAGTGGTCTGCCGTGCTCCTTTGGGGTCTGCCTTGCTACTGTGGGGTCTGCCGTGCTCCTGTGTGGTCTGCCGTGCTCTTTCCAAGACGACGTTAGACTCATTGTTTGTTTGATGATTGTTCGGCCGTCTTGAGGGCACTCTTAGGGCATAGTCTGCCGTGCTCCTCGTCTTGGTCTGCCGTGCTCCTCGTCTTGGTCATCCTTTCCGTCGTCTTGAGGGCGCTCTTGGTGCCTGGTCTGCCGTGCTCCTCGTCTTGGTCTGCCGTGCTCCTCTCGGTTCCTAAGCCTGGTCTGCCGTGCTCCTCGTCTTGGTCTGCCGTGCTCCTCTCGGTTCCTAAGACGTCTTAAACGATAGCCTCCAACACCTCGATTTTAGGAGGATGTCTCGAGCGAAATGGCCATTTTGGGGAACCTGACCGGACAAGAACGGGAAGCGCCGTTTTTTATCCACCACGTGCGTCAGAGACCGTATTGGCGAGAACGTCAGAGAAACCCATAAACGCAACAGAACAGACTAAATGATGGCCTGCCGCGTTCCGACGGCCCAAGACGGCCCAAGAGGCCCCCAAGATCGCTTTAAGATCGCCCAAGAGGCCTTCAAGATGGCCCCGAAACGGCCCAAGAAGTCCCCAAGACGGTCCCAAGAGGGCCCTAACACGGCGCAAGAGGCCTCCAAGACGCCCAAGATGTCTTCCAAGACGGCCAAGATGGCCTCCAAGACGGCTAAGATGGCTCCAAGAGGGCCCCAAGACGGCCCAAGAGGCCTCGAAGACGGTCTGCCGTGCTCCTGTGGTCTGCCGTGCTCCTTTGGGGTCTGCCGTGCTCCTGTGGAGTTTGCCGTGCGAACGTGTGGTCTGCCGTGCTCCTGTGTGGTCTGGCGTGCTCCTGTATGGTCTGCCGTGCTCTTGTGTGGTTTGCCGTGCTCCTGTGTGGTCTGCCCTGCTCCCGTGGGGTCTGCCGTGTCCTGTGTGGTCTGCCGTGCTCCTGTGTGGTCTGCCGTGCTCCTGTGTGGTCTGCCGTGCTCCTTCTTGGTCTGCCGTGCTCATGTGCGGTCTGCCGTGCTCCTGTGCGGTCTGCCGTGCGAACGTGTGGACTGCCGTGCTCATTTGGGGTCTGCCTTGCTCCTTTGTGGTTTGCCGCGCTCCTGTGTGGTCTGCCGTGCTCCTGTGTGGTCAGCAGACCCAGGGCTGAGGGAAGGCTGGAGCAGTGCTCTGGTGGTCCATCACCCGCCCAGCTCCGTCCCCTCCCACTCTGGACCGATCTTGCGGGAAGCTGGCTTGTGGCAGCGCATCGCGCGTCCATAGCGTTCGTGTGCTTGCTTTTACCTCCTTTAATGTCTGCTCCACCTCTCCTTGAGACGCAGAAGCCTCCGAGCGCCGGGAGCAGAAATGATGCACTTTCGAAAAATCTGTTTGGATGAGTTTTGTTAGCGCGGCCTCGGAATTCAATTTTTCCGGCGACGGCCAGAGCCGACGCCAGCGCTGGATCCGGCTCGGCCGCCAGCCCAGGTGCCGGCCCGGGCGTTCGGTTCGAGCGCCGGCCTGGGTGCCGGAATCGGCCCGGAAGGGGTTCCAGGGCGCCGGGAGCAGAAAATCAATATTTTCGAAAGAAAAATATGTCTTGGAGTGGCCTTTTTTCCGCACCGCCTCGGAATTCAATTTTCCGGCGCCGGCCGGCGCCGGAACCGGCCCGGGCGCTGGCCCGGGTGCTGGCCCAGGCGTTCGGCTCGAGCGCCGGCCCGGGTGCCGGAAGCGGCCCGGAAGGGGTTCCCGGGCGCCGGGAGCAGAAAATCAATATTTTCGAAAGAAAAATATGTCTTGGAGTGGCCTTTTTTCGGCACCGCCTCGGAATTCAATTTTCCGGCGCCGGCCGGCGCCGGAACCGGCCCGGGCGCTGGCCCGGGTGCTGGCCCGGGCGTTTGGCTCGAGCGCCGGCCCGGGTGCCAGAAGCGGCCCGGAAGGGGTTCCCGGGCGCCGGGAGCAGAAAATCAATATTTTCGAAAGAAAAATGTGTCTTGGAGTGGCCTTTTTTCGGCACCGCCTCGGAATTCAATTTTCCGGCGCCGGCCGGCGCCGGAACCGGCCCGGGCGCTGGCCCGGGTGCCGGCCCGGGCGTTTGGCTCGAGCGCCGGCCCGGGTGCCGGAATCGGCCCGGAAGGGGTTCCAGGGCGCCGGGAGGAGAAAATCAATATTTTCGAAAGAAAAATATGTTTTGGAGTGGCCTTTTTTCGGCACCGCCTCGGAATTCAATTTTCCGGCGCCGGCCGTGCTCCTGCGCGGTCTGCCGTGCTCCTGTGGCGTCTGCCGTGCTCCTGTGTGGTCTGCCGTGCTCCTGTGGTCTGCCGTGCTCATTTGGGGTTTCCCGCGAGCTTGTGGGGTCTGCCGTGCTCCTGTGGGGGAAACGCCAGCGGCGTTCGGGGTACAACAAAAGGCGCGTTTATGTTGTACCTGCGCGCGGTCTGCCGTGCTCCTGTGGGGATTGCCGTGCTCCTGTGTGGTCTGCCGTGCTCCTGTGTGGTTTGCCGTGCTCCTGTGGTCTGCCGTGCTCCTTTGTGGTTTGCCGTGCTCCTGTGGGGTCTGCCGTGCTCCTGTGGGGTCTGCCGTGCTCCTGTGAGGTCTGCGGTGCTCTTGTGTGGTCTGCAGTGCTTCTGTGGTCTGCCGTGCTCATTTGGGATCTGCCGTGCTCGTGTGGTGTCTGCCGTGCTCCTGCGGGATCTGCTGTGCTCCTTGTGTCGTCTCTTTGGTCTGCCGTGCTCCTTTGTGGTCTGCCGTGCTCTTGTGGGGTCTGCCGTGCTCCTGTGTGGTCTGCCGTGCTCCTTTTTTTCCGCCTGCCGTGCTCCTGCTCATTTTCTGAGGACGTCCCGAGCGAAAACGTCATTTTTAACATAAGAGGTTGTAAAACACCTCTGTCGGCATCTCATTTTTTCGAGGATGTCTCGAGCGAAACGCTCATTTTTCATGCATAACAAAAATTTTTGATATTTTTCAACATCCCGATTTTTTGAAGATGTCTCGAGCGAAACCGTCATTTTTAACATAAGACGTCTTAGACGATAGCCTCCAACACCTCGATTTTTCGAGGATGTCTCGAGCGAAATGGCCATTTTGGGGAATCCGCCAACGAAAACTCCCGTGCAGCGGCGCGCGCGGTCTGCCGTGCTCCTGTGGGGAGCACGGCAGACCACAGGAGCACGGCAGACCACACAGGAGCACGGCAGAGCACACCTCGATTTTTTGAGGATGTCTCGAGCGAAATGGCCATTTGGGGGAATCCGCCAACGAAAAACCTGACCTGGGAATGGTAGTCCCCATTCCCTGGGCGGGCTCTTTTTTGAAAACCGAAGCTCCTATGAAAACCAGTGTGGGGGGGGAGGGGCAGGACGAGGAGGAAGAGGAAGAGGAGGAGGAAGAGGAAAATGGAGATGAGGAGGTGGAGGAGGAGGAAGAGGAGGAGGGCGAGGAGAGAGGAGGCAAACGACATGCGGAGTAAAAAATTAACCCTGCTGGGAGGAGGAGAAGGGGGCAGAGGAGGAGGAGGACGAGTAATAAGAGAGGAAACGGGGGGAGAGGAGGACGAGGAGGAGGAGGAGGAGGAGGAGGAGGACGAGGAGGAGGAGGAGGAGGAGGAGGAGGAGGAGGAGGTCGCGCGCTGACGGCCCCTCCGTCCTTCCAGGTCCCCGAAGCCGTAGGGCCGTAGTCCCGTAGTCCACGACGGGGCACGGGCGCGGCCGAGGGTCGTCGACGTCGCCGTCGTCGTCGTCTTCGTCGTTTTCGCCGCCGTCGCCGTCGAGCTGTCGCCGTCGGGGCCAGGACAGAAGACGAGATCCACCAGGACAGAAGACGAGATCCACTGAACCCCACTGAAACTATTATTTTCTTCGTGAGTGGAGGGCTCGGTCACCCGAGAGCTCCGAGAGCAATGGCACTCCACGAATCGTGCCACGAATCCCCGCGGGCTCCGACGGAGCAGCAGCGGTGAAACATCGGAAGAGCTTGAAACTTGAGAGCCACACGTTGTTTGTTTTTGTTGGTGTTTGTATGTGTGTTTGTTTATGAACATGCTAGCGCGCGGCCCTGCGGATGAGCGGCACAGCCAGACACAGCCAGGGCCAGGGCAAAGAGAGCATTGCGCATTGCATTGCGGGTGCTCGCAATAGCTCGTCGGCGCTCGCGCCAATCGAATTCACACTCCAAACGAACTAGCTGGGGGGCGGGGGGGTCTCTAATCTGCACTACAAGAACATAGATGTATGAACCTATGAGTAAGATAGTCTGTATGTAATTGTTCAATGGGTACATACACAGTTGCATCAAGGAAGCTAGTCGATGGATGACCTACCTACCCTAGTTGAAGCAGTGCTTGTGGTCATCGAATTCTTCGGGGATCTTAATAGCACTGCACGTGGAACTGGAACTCTTGCACTTCCCACCCGTGGTGCCGACCTTGCCCTTGCTCTGTGGCTTGGGCGTTGGCTGGACTGCCATGGACAGAGGCTCACGGGTGAGGAGGACCTTCTCGGCCCCCAAGCATTTCGAATTCAAAACCAAACTGTAGAAATCAACATCTACTGACACGGTCTCCAACTTGTTGAACGCAGTGTACTGAAACTCGAAAGGAAGGGTCTGCTTGTCGACAGACAGCACTGGATCCTCTAGCACAGCCTCGGTCCGCACCCCCTTGATCGTCTTCGAAGCTTCCTGCTGGAAACGCCGACAAGGCTCAGGACGATGCGATCGCGGTTCCCCGTTCCCCCGAAGGCCCCGAAGGTTTCCGATCGTTGTTTCACAGGTTGTGCTCGAGGTTTTCGGCCCGATGGTTTTTCAAGCATCGA